TAATAATATAAAGCTGAACTGGCCCCAGAAATGTGTTGATACCCACTGCAGCTGTTTTAAAAATAGGCATTATATGAGAAGGTCAGCTTGACTTTCTTAGTAGAGGTGGGCATGAACTGGAAAATTGTGATTTGTTGTGATTCATGATACAATTTTTTTATGACAGACATATCAATTTATCAATTTCTTTTTACTTTAAAATCCTGTAAAATGCCCCCAAGCACCTATGGACACCAGAATTAAGAGACAATCTTGCCCTGACACTGCTTTACAGGCATTGTAAGTTTGGTGATGTTTGGACTTTGGATGTCTGAGCTATAGCTGGGCCCATCAGGAAAGTTGGAAGGGTGCTGAAATTATTTTTCCAGTCCCTGGTGATGTGTTGGTAAAAGTGGGTGGCATTCTTTGATGAAGAATCAAAGTGGAAGATAGAGAGATAGCTAAATAGGGAGATATAAAGCAAATCACTTGCATGGCAGCTATGATGTGATAGATTTGGCAGACTTCTTTTGTTTTTGGAAAATACCAGTGCCCTCTCGAGGAGGATGTGCAGGGCTCTGGTGAGCATTTGCAGCTGAAACATTAAATGAGAATCTATTTGTGTCTCCTGTAAATTTCTAAAAGTCATTGTGTTTGACTACTAGCTGGTAGATTTCAAGTGTGACTTGCATTTATACTCAACAGCCAGAACTATTGTTAGTATTATGCAGAGCAGTGGTTCTTAACCTTGGGTTACTCAGGTATTTTTGGACTGCAACTCCCAGAAGCCTTCACCACTAGCTGTGTTGGCTGGGGTTTCTGGGAGTTGCAGTCCAAAAACACCTGAGTAACCCAAGGTTGAGAACCACTGATGCAGAGTAACACCACAAATACCAGTGTAGTATTTATTACTGTATTTTTTACAACATATCATAATTTTAAAACCATGAAAAATATGGCATGTTGGAAATGAAATATTTCCAGGTTCTCTACAGTTATTTGCTGTGAACTTTAATCCTTTTCTTGCTTCCTCAATATATGCTCTTTGGTAGTCTTCAAATTTCTGAATGTCACAATTGTATCTTGTCATTTTTCTTCCTGTTCATTATCATCTGCCAATAAAATCACATATATCTTTAGTCCAATAAAGCTGTTTCTGTCCAATGGTGCATATTTCTTGTACAGTGGTGCCTCGCTTAGCGATTGCTTCGTTTAACGATGTATTCGTTTAACAATGGGTTTTTTAAAAGAATTTTCCGCATCGTTTGATGATGTTTCCTATGGGCGATTTTCGCTTAGCGATTTCAGGACCATGCTTCACATAGCGAATGCATTTTGGGTCCCCTGTTTCGATTTTTGCAATTTTAAAAGTGTCTTAAAATGTTCAAAAATGTTTTAAATGCTT